AACAACAACAACAACAACAACAACAACAACAACAACAACAACAACAACAACAACAACATAAGTGGTAATGCAGATCACGTGACTGTGCGCAGCCAATACTGGTCGCAGCCGTCTTTAAAATGATTTAAATGCATGCGCTGTGAGTACCAGTGTTGAGTAAATTTACTCAGCGCGCGCGCACACGTAGAGTAAAATGACGCATGAGTCAAAAATTATCAAACACGTTTGATATTGAGTAAAGTGACGCATGCGTCAAATTACTCAACGAAAATCCGCCGCACACGTGAGTAAAATTACTCACGTGTGCGACGGGCTTAACGTTAACCTTCTCTCTCTTTCTCTCTCTCTCTCTCTCTCTCTCTCTTCATCAGAGGAGGCATTGTTGTTGTTGTATGGGTGAGAGCAGAAGCGGCTGTAGAGTGGTTAGTCAGGCGCAACACGCACATAGCAGACACTGAGCTAGAACAAATAGCCCCCTTGCCACCCAGCGCAACTAATCCGCCCCTCCCACCCACCCCAGCCACCCCCAGCAACCCACCCCTCCCCTCCAACACAGCCAACTCTCACACACCACACCCCACGCACTCCACCCACACCATACCTACCACCCACCCACCTCACCCCTCCTTCCCACCTGACTCCATCCAACCCACCTCACCCCACTTGCCCATGCACAGCCTCCCATTTATCCAGTCGCCCGACAATGGCAAACGCCCTTCAAAGCTTCCACAAAGGAAAAAAATTTTTCTGGCAATTTTTCTAACGTGGCTTTCAGTACCAGATGACAGCAGATAATGCAGGTAATCTAACAAAAATACGTCAATTCCAATAAGAGTAAAATGGTCTCTTAACACATTCAACATGCCAGCATAGACACACACGCACAAACACGCACAGTTTTCTAAAAGCGAATGAACTTCAAAGGCTGCTGAAGGAATTGCTGTCGTCGTCAGTTAATTAATGCAATAATTTGTGCACACACTTATTAGCATGCGACACGTGTGCGTGTAATGAGATTCGGTTAATTAATCAATCAACTCTCACGTTCCCACGTCATCGATGCTATTCTAAACAAGATCAACTCGTTTCAACCTGCCACGTCTTAACAATCTAAACTAAACGCTAACTGATAGCAAAGCCGGCTTATGATGCATGTATATAATTATGTATGTATATATATATACACACACGCACGGACGCACGCACGCATGCACCCACACATAATATATATATATACGTGTAACAGTGACTCACTCTACGACTTCCTGGTTGAAGTCGCACTGCAGGTTTCCCAGGAACTCGCCAATCTTCTGCTTGCTGAGACCCTTGCGGGATATTAGGAACTTGGAGACGGCCGCCGGCGTGTGCTCGATGAAGCGGTTGTCGACCAGATACCGGATACCCCTCTCGGGTTTCCTGCGGGAAGAGTTATTATAATAAATTAGTATAACTAAATATATATATATTATATTCATGAAGGCATGAATTAATTAGTATAATATGATTAATATATAGTATTAGTATATATATATATATATATAATAGTATTAGTATGATGTATATATATGTATATTTGTATATATAGTGGGAGTGAGTAATTAACATACATGCCACTACACCTTACTCTGCCCCTTCTCCCTCCCCTCTCTACTCACCTCTGCCCCTTCTCCCTCCCCTCTCTACTCACCTCTGCCCCTTCTTCCACCCCTCTCTACTCACCTCTGCCCCTTCTCCCCCCCTCTCTACTCACATCTGCCCCTTCTCCCTCCCCTCTCTACTCACATCTGCCCCTTCTCCCTCCCCTCTCTACTCACCTCTGCCCCTTCTCCCTCCCCTCTCTACTCACATCTGCCCCTTCTTCCACCCCTCTCTACTCACCTCTGCCCCTTCTTCCGCCCCTCTCTACTCACNCCTCTCTCTCTCTCTCTCTCTCTCTCTCTCTCTCTCTCTTCTTCTTCTCTCTCTCTCCTTTCTTTCTCTCTCTCTCTCTCTCTCTCTCTCTCTCTCTGTCTTTGTCTTTGTCGTGTTTAAATTTTTTGTTTAACTGCTGCTGGCAAGCTCTGTCTGCTAAAGCCAGGCGCACACGCGAGTCATTTTACTTAAGTAAAATGACGCATGAGTCATTTTACTCACGCGTCATACTTTCAGCGTCCGCCGCAAACGCGAGTAAAATTACTCAAGGTATACGTGGTAATGCAGATCACGTGACTGTGCGCAGCCAATACTGG